TCTACAATAAATCAAAAAATTAGCCAGGCATGGTAGCGCATGCCTATAGTTCTGGCTACTTGGAAGGTTGAGGCAGAAGGATCACCAGAGCCCAGCAGTTCAATGCTGGGGTGGCCGTGAGTGTGCCACTGCACTCCAGCCTGGGTGATGGAGCGAGACTCTGATTCAAAAAACAAAAAAGCCCAGCCCCAGTCATTTCCTTCCTGAAGATGAGCTGGTGACATCATCTTCTCAGATGTCAGACACCCGTTCAGATTCTTGGTAAATCATGACTCACTGTTCACATTCACTAGAACACACAGGGTTTAGGGCCAACACACGCATCACTTGACAGGCTTGCTCCAACAAATGGACAGGAGGGGAACAAACTGGCTTGGCTCACGAGAGAGAGAAGAGACCGGAACAAGCCTCTGTTGGCAGTCACAGGCACTCACAGACTCTTAGATCCATGGGGGACCCAAGAGATCATTAGTGTAACCCCTTACTTTACAGATGGGCCTGCTGAGGATAAGAAATCATCAGTGAGGCTATTCAGCAAGAAATGAAGTCTTCTAGGTCTGGAAGTCTTAGGGATCAGCTTTTAGCCTCCTGGATTGTTTTCAACCCCAGAAACTTGAAGTACTCAGTGAAGTTGAGCCCATAGACAAATATCCCTGTGCAGCACAAGGCCAAGAATGACCCGGTGGTGGAGGAAGCTGCTGTTGGTTTTAGACCCTGACTCTGGGACCCTCCTGTGATGACCCCATCACCGGGGCTTCCTGAGTCAGGGTTGAAAGGGAGGTGGAGGAGCTCCAGCCTATCAAAGGTAGTTTAGCCCCAAGTCTAACCCACCTCAGTCCTGTCCCTGTAGTAACTAGCCAGAGAGATCATATACCAGGCTGTTGTCCACCTTTATTAAAAAAAAAAAAAGACTTTCAACTTTCACCTCTATTCCTCTCCTTGACTTTCCAGAGGGATAGGAGTATATGGAAGCACCTTGGGTACTGTGAGGGCTCCCCAGGAAAGAGACACAGTCATCACCACAGGCCACATCTGTATATTCCAGGATGTGAGATCAGTGTCCCTCCTTTCCACCTTGTGGTTCTTGAGGCTTCACCTGTTACCACAAGTGGTCAGGCCCCAGAATGCCCATCATTTTCTAAACCTACTTAAGGACTTGAAGCTTCTAATTCAGAACAAACTTTCATTTCCTTTTTTTAAAAAAAACAACCAGGCATTTTTCCTTGGGCGCTGAAAGGCTGCTCTGCCCTCCCACCCACCGTCTTGTCTGGCTGGGAGTTCTTCCTGTTAAGTCTCCAGGGCCATGCACACCAAGGAGCGCACAAATTGTCAGCCCAGCCCAGCAGCACCTCCAGAGATATGAGCAAAGACTCTCACTAGCCCTGGGCTGAGAGCTCCCTGAGGCCCCAGGAGGGAGGTGGTCCCAGTGCTCTTCAGAGGCACGACTGTCCTTCCTCAGGCTCTAGGGTCCTGCTCCTGACCCTCAGGAGGTGGGAGGGTGGGGGCAGATCCCCCAATTGCAGCGTGGCCAGGAAAGAGATTCTGGTGCATCATCATCTTTCTTTCATCCTTCTCAAGTCATTTTAAATCTGAAGTCCAGTCTTAGGCTTTGATACACAGCGATTGGAGAGAGTCACTTGGTCCAACTTACCCTGACAGCAGAAATGGACTCTGGGAGGCTGAATAAAAAATAATGCAAAGCTGGGCTCAGTGGCTCAGCCTGTAATCTCGTGCCTTTGGGAGGCTGAGGTAAGTGGATTGCCTGAACCCGTGGGGTTGAGACCGACTGGGCAACTTGGCGAGACCTCATCTCTACAATAAATCAAAAAAATTAGCCGGGCGTGGTTGCGCACACCTGTAGTTCCAGATACTTGGAAGGCTGAGGCGGAAGGATCGCTGGAGCCCAGCAGGTCGAGGCTGCGGTGGCCGGGAGCAGCCACTGCACTCCAGTCTGGGTGACTGAGTGAGACTCCAACTCAAAAAAAAAAAAAATAGAAAAATATACATAGAGCATGATACCAATTTAGTAAAGAAAAAAACAAAAATACTAAGACTAGAAGAATAAGCACTAAACCACAAGTAGTAATTTTTAAAATTGATCTTTTAAATTCACAAATAAAAATTGTATATATTTATCACGTATAACATGTTATTTTGAAATATGTATAATCAGTGGTTATTTTTGGATGGTAGTGTTACCATTGATTTTACTTTTCATCATTAAGTCATTTTAGATTTTTATTTTCTCTATAAAGGAACACATATTACTTTTATAATAATAAAATAGAATATATATATCTATATATATATATTTTTGAGTAGGAGTTTCACTCTGTTGCCCAGGCTGGAGTGCAGTGGCACGCTCATGGCCACTGCAGCCTCGACCCGCTGGGCTCAGGCGATCCTTTTGCCTCAGCCTTCCAAGTAGCTGAAACCACAGGTGTACACTGCCACACCCGGCTAATTATTTATTTATTTATTGTAGAGATGAGATCTCGCCAAGTTGCCCCTGCTGGTCTTGAACCCTTGGACTCTGACAATCCTCTCGTCTCTGCCTCCCAAAATGCTGGGATTACAGGCGTGAGT